GAGTCCAAGTTTTCCCATCTACCACAACATAATTTGTTGAGATAACACAAGTACAGAGAGGAATTATTTTAGGAAAGATAATTAGGGGAAGCCTGTCAGAAGAGCAACATCTGGGGAGAGATCTAAGGAATGAGATACAGCGCTTCTTTCTGACAGGAACTGAAGTGTAAGAACAGTTGTTTCTTAAGTCACCTCTACTCTGTGCCATCTGCGCATAATGAATGTGTAGCCTCATATGACAAAGAAAAAAACAAGTAGCTGAATAAGTTTTGGGATGTTTAAAAACTTGGGTGAGTGATATTAAAAACAGATGACTAGGAATCAAAATAAAATGAGAAGCTTAATAAAAAGTTATACTTCACTACTAGCCTACAGTGTACAATGATTAAAAACATCCAAAATTCTGCACATAGCATCTTCTCCAATCAAACTTTCTGCTTGCTAAGTCATCCTTGTCCAAATGACTGCTAAAACTGAATGAGTCAGTTCTGAATTAATAAGGTTAAAATCTTCCCATCTATTTTATAGACAACTGGTATTTTTTAACCAAGAGAGAAATGGAATACTAACTTCTTCCTTTTGACTTTATTCAGTCCTTGAAAAAAAAATTCCATACATATCCTGAATGGTATCTTCAAGAATTCCCTGGGCTTCCCCAGGAATCTCTTACCCCTTACTGTTTTCTGGCTTGCTCAAGTCAAAGTAGAGACTGTCTAATAGAACAGAATGTATAACCTCCCAAGAGTAGCCAGAGAGGGGTCTGATAATAGGCTCTCTTGGAAGAGAAGGGTAACTCAGATCAAAGCAAATGAATTCATACTAGACAGAAACTCTAATGAACTGACAGGGTTTCGTGTATCTGGAGCTGGCCTCAAACTCCCAACACAGTCAAGGATGAACTTAAACTTCTGATCTTCCTGTTTCCTCCTTCTGAGTGCTGAGGTGGCAGGTATACACCACCATATATGGTTTTATGAAGTGCTGGGGATTGAACCGAGGTCTCATTTGCATGCTAGGCAAGCACTCTAGCAACTGAACTGTATCTCCAGCCTCTACTCAATCTTTGAAGATTTTTTCATTTTATTTTAATAAGAGGGCATTTACTTGCAAATGAAAATACCATTGCTACTATTTTTTTTCCTGTTAGTATTATTTTATCATCTTATTTCAACACAAGTGGCTATCTTTGAAGACAAGGAGGGACAAACTATTCCAGTAGCATTTCTTTTTTTTCCCTTTCCATTTCTGTGTGTGTAGTGTACCTTTGTACATATAGGCACGTTTGCATGTGCACAGCAGCAGTTAATGCTGGCAATCATATCCATTCCTCTTCCACTGTATTCATTGAGGCAGGGTCTCTCAATCAAACCCAGAGCTGACCAATGACCAAAATGGCTAGTATCACAAGTGAGCAAGTTCTGGGGATCTTCTGGTCTACCTTTGGAAATGAAATTGCAGGCGGGCTGCCACACCCACCCAACATTTTACATGGGTTCTAGGGATCTGAACTCTAGTCTTCAAGCTTGCGCAATAAGTACTTTAACCACTGAGCCATCTCCCCATGCCCTCCAGCAGCAGTCCTTACAGCCCCAGCCCTCCCTTTCCACTCAGTCTCTCATAACCTCCAGAAACCTGAACCATTCATTCCACAGCAATTGTAGAATCCTTTCCCCAGCCCCATCCTGTGTATAGTGTCTGCCACAAGCAAGTTCCTTAGGCATTTCTATTACCAACTGACAGGAATCAAAGGATGGGGGGCTGTTTTTGCTTGCACGCCTGAGCAAAGAAAGATATGGTTCTGAGACTCCAAATGCAGTTCTGAGTGTGTCTCCCTCGTCAGGCATGGTGAGTCTTTTATTTGACCATTGCTCTGCATAAAGCACACTGGCACTAAACCCTTTGAGATATAGTATCCCATCCAATCTCCTCAAAAACTCCAGGAGATCATTATTTTTGGTAGTGGTGTGAAAATAAAAGCAAAAGCCCTAACATTGATAGAGACTTAAATGCTAGTTTATAATATACACAAAAATTATTTAAGCTAGATACGGTAGTACACACCTGTAAACCTAGCACTTAAAAGACTGGAACAGGAGGATGGTGAATTAAAAGCCAGCCTAGGTTACATGGTGACTTCCAGGCCAGTCTGGGATATATAAAGAGATCTGTCCCTAACTTCCCAGCGTTTAAAAAAAAAAAATCATTTATAGGTAAGTTTTGTAATGTAGCCTATGTGGGAACTGTCTCTGCTCTAAGGCTGGCCAAATATGAATAGGTTTATAGAGTAAGAGAAAGTATTTTTGGGGAAAAAGTCCTAGGTTTTGATTCGCATAGTTTGCTTTATCACTTCTGAAACTGTCCTGTGAGACATTGTGGCTGTTGAAATAGTTGAGTCTGAGCAGGATGTGATGGAACTCTGTGTCCACCTCAGCCCCTGAAGCCAAACTGGGTCTCATTAATACCCAAGTGCCCCCACCAGGCACTTCAATGTCACAGCCGACACCAGAGGTCAGTTTGGTTCCTAGGCTCAGACAGACAGGTGTTTGCTTACCAATATCCTCGCTCACACAATTCTGATTCAAATATGGAAAAGGCTCATTAAAAAAAAAAGAACAAGGTAAAAGAATGAAAATACTTTCCCTTTGTGTAGAAGTTTACCTTTCCAGCCCAAGTCAGAGTAAATGATCCTAATAACTCAAGTGCCTGTAAGTGACTCTGGACTTGCTGTGGGTGGATATTTTTATGCTTACCTGTACAATCCTACACCTGCCCTATATCAGCAACAACAAAATACATAGCAATACCTTTCCATGCATGACAAACCAAGTATCAGCATGTAATATTGGTAATATCCCACAAGTAAAGACAGGCTCTCCTCACCAATCTGTACTTGCTCTTTGGCATAACTACTCAAATAACTCGGAGATGTCGGTATTTTTCCATGACCCAAAGTTAGGATACATAAATGTGAACAGAAAGGATTGTTTGCTAAGGTTTTTTTTTTTTTTTTTTTTTTTTCCTGTTGCTTACTTTTAATGGAGGAGAAAAACTTTTCAATAAACAGGAACATCTGGAAGTAATGGCTAAAACTCAAGAGTTGTGCATGGCTCAAAGTTACGTTTTCATAGACAGGGTAGTCAGATTGATTTCTTATGAAAATTCTGGCAATGTCACTGTCTAAGGAAGAAACTGAATGCTGGCTACAGTGACACAATTTGTCACTTGAGTCTTCAGATTCACACCAGAATAGATGCCTCAGATAAAAGATGGCAAGATAAGGGAAAATGGCTTTCATTTTTTTACACCATTAAGATACATGCTCTGAGGTTTTAAACAAATGGAATGGCCTTAAGTTCTTCTAGATCTGTGCACTCTTTTTTGGCTTTTGCATATGCAGTTCTCCCTACCTGGGAGTTCTTCCTGCTTATTTTAAATGAACCTTTGGCTAACTCTTATGCATTCATCACACAGGTACAGTCTTCCCAGAAGTCTTCCATGCTTTCAACAACTCTGAGTGGCTGTTCGGCCCTTGCTTTGTTCTTAAAAAACATCTTCAATTTTGTTTCAGCAAGACATGTTTATTGCTAACAGACATATTTAGCTTAGTATCTATGATGTAAAGAAGGTCTGCTCTGAGCTATAACTTCCTAGTTCATCGTGTATGAGTGTTTGCACATGTGTGTATGGGTAGGCATGGAGATATCTGTGCATGCATGTGGAAGCCAGAGACTGACATCCAATAGTTGTCTTCTTCAATTGCTCTCCACCTTACAGAAGCTGAGTCTGTCACAGAACCTATGCTGGTTGGCCAGCAAATCCCAGAGGATCAGTCTGACTCCACCTCACCAGCACTGGGATTACAGGTGTATACTCATGTGCCCATCTTCTTTTAAAAAATATGAGTATGAGTGTATTGCCTGCATATATGTAAATGCACCCAAGTTGTGAAATACCAGCGGAGGCCAGAAGAGCACACTGGATCCCCTGGAGCTGCAGTTATGGGCAGTTGTTAGTCACCATATGGATGCTGGTACTCAAACTTAGGTCCTCTACAAGAGCAGTCAGTGCTCTTAACTGCTGAGTCATTTCTCTAGCTTCCATGCCCACCTTCCTTAAGTGAGTGTTAGGGATCAAATTCAGGCCCTCATGCTTGGTGTGGTAAGCCCTTTACCAATTGAGCCATCTCTTCAGTCCAACCTGTTTGTTTCTTTAAAGATGATTTATTATTTTTATGTCTGTGCGCTTGTGTGAGTTTATGTGTACCGTGTACATGTAGGAGCCCCCAGAAGCCAGAAGAAGATGTCTAATCCTCTGAGCTAAAGTTACAGGAGACTGTAAGCTGCCATGTGGGTGCTAGGAACCAAACCCAGGTCCTCAGCAAGAGCAGTAAATGCTCTTAACCACGGAGTCATCTCTTCAGGCTCCTCCCACACCATTCATTTTTAATTTGTGCTTTTCTTTAGAATAACTGAAATATATTATTTTTGTTATTTCATGTATGTTCTTTAAAAAGACTTCACTGAGTCTGGTTTGGTCACAAGCTTTCTGACTAATGCTAATTAAAGAGAAGAGGAGGCTAAGAAGTTGCTGGGATATGATGGTAAAAGATTCATTCATTCATTTAGTAAATGTTTATCAAAGGGCTGCCCTGTGAATCACTATTCTAGCTCTGATTATATGGTAGACAATGAAAGAAATAAGTACATAAGGGTGGATAAAGATGCTTGCCACCAAGCATAATGATCTAAGTTTGGTCCCTGGGACCCACAAGGTAGAAAGAAATGGCTCTCCAAAGGTTTCCGCAAACAGACACACAATTTTAAAGAATGTAAGTAAAAATTTTTAAATAACTAAACAAAACAAGTACATTAATTAATCCAACCAATGATGTGTTCTAATCCATCCCTGGCACGTTGTTCTATGAGGAATTAATACCTAATTTGCATAATTAGGATTTATTTACTGTCAAATATGATTCAAGGTTCTACAGATTAACTTACCTCAACATATGAAATTGGAAATATTCCTATTTTATCTGCCAGCATTCCCTCAGCCCAGTTTTCATCCACTCTGCGGATCACAGTCAGCACATCATCCTGAAGAAACAGAAAAGCTTGAGTCTCTCTAACCCCATTAAATTTATCGTTTAATTTGCCTTCTCAATCAAGGGACTGAATAGTAGGTGAATAAAAATGCTATCATACATCTTTAGTAACAAATGCAACATTTTCATGAACTGAACAATAACTATGGGGAAAACCTGATGTCCTTTAAAATTTTTTATTACACT